CTATACTCACCTTTCATTTACTCTCAAACCTCTACAATTTGCCTTTCATTGAAAGTACTTTCCCTAATGCCATAGTGCTACTTTCTTTTTAAGATTTTATTTATTTATTTATTTGAGAGAAAGGTGGGGGGGGAGAGGGAGAGACAGTGTGGGGTGGAGGGACGGAGCAGAGAGAGAGAAAGAGAGGGACTAGCAGACTCCACACTGAGTGGGGAATAGGAAGCGAGACTCTATCCCAAGACCCTGAGATCATATCCTGAGCCCGAAACCAAGAGTCAGATGCATAACTGACTGAGCCACCCAGATGCCCCCGTAGTGGCTACTTTTAAAACAGATTATCTAAAGGACACTTACTGGTCCTTCTTTCACCTTGAATCCTTTGCAACATTGGGCACTGCTGTCCTTTCCTTCCTTCTTAATATTCTCTCTTCCTTGGATAATAATTTCTCCTCATCTTTCATAATGCCTGAACTTTGATTTTAAAACCTGGTTCCATCACTTTCTCTGTGTAGCCTTGGGTAAGCTGTGTGAACTTGGGTGTTAGCTGTACTGAACTAATCAGCCTTTGACCTTTTCAGCTATCAGTCAGGGTCCCAGTGGGCAACAGAAACCATAGTAAAGAGAGTCTAGACAAGGGAGTATTACAAGGATGGTGTAGCATCAGGAAGCCATTACCAGAGCCAGGATGGAGCTGGAAACTTGATAAAGGAACTTTGATCATGGAAGAATTCAGTTACTGCCAGAAACACAGTGAAGCTGGGTTAGGCAGAGATAAATACCCTGACCAATTCTTACTCCTACCATCCTCCACCTTCTTCTGCTGCCTTTCATTGGTCAAACCTAACTGGAAAGCCAGAGCATGGAGGAGGCTGGGTAATGCAAACTCTAGAGCTCAGCCTCCTGAGACACACAGCAAGGCAGGGAAAAGCAGAGAATGAACCCAGATGGAGGACTAGCAGAAAACAGCCAGTAACAAGCACACTACCTACCACTCCCCTTTATTCACTTAAAAATATTAAATGTGCCAGGAACTATTCTAGGGACTACAGAGATCCCAAGACTCCTTAGGGAAAACAGTAAAGCAATAACTATACACATTTCAGATCATAGATACAAATGAAAAAAAGAGTACCATTACTCACTCTAATGTAGACTCTATCTCTGAGATGACAGTAAAACTTAAATAAGAAGGAAGGAAGGGATAATAAATTTTCTAAAAGCTAGGGGAAGAGTATTCAAACAAGAGAGATTAGCAAGGGCAGAGTGCAGACATCCTGAGGTAGAAATCAGTTTGGCCTATCCAAGGCAGAGACAGGAGGCCAGTGTGGCTGGAGGGGGGGTGGCAGGAGATGAGGTAGGACTGGTTGGCAGAAGTTAGATCATAAAGGGCTTTGTAGACTTAGCAAGGAGTTGGGGTGTTTTTGCTAATGTAACAGAAAGGTTTTAGGCTGGGGGTGGTAAGTTGGAGTGTTTGTAAGTTAAGACATATCTAATTTCCATTTGTAAAACATAGCTTCAGCGATTCTGTGAAAAATAAATTGTAGCAGGCAAGAATGGAAACGTCTTGTTATAGTCTGCATTGCCCTGACCAGAGCTCCCAGGTTCAGGAGAGCTGGGAGGTGTTTTGTGTAGGGGTGGCACTGTTTGGGTCAGGATGGGTGCCTGACATACAAGTAGCATGACGACCGACTGGCTGGCAGCCAATGATGGGGCTCAGAGATAAGGGGTCTTGCAACTGGACTGTGTTCCTCTGAAATGTAGGGGAGAGGATAAGAAGAGTAGTGTGAGGACAGATCAAAGAGGTAGAGAAAAAATGGAGGTCCAATGGGAAAGAAATAAGAGAACAGCTTCTAGAGGGGCCTTCGTTCCTAATACCTACTCATATATCCATATAAACCCTTTTGCTTTCACCCTTTTAATTGAGGTGGTCTCTGGGTCTCTCTTTCTTACATGCAAAATAGTCTAATGAATACATTAGTGTTCTCAAGATTTCATTCTTCTAATTTCCATCAGTCAGAAATGACAAAGATCTGCTCTGGTAACAAATAAACCCCTCAAATCTCAGTTGCCTAAAACAACCAGTGTTGACTTCTCACTTACTTTTAAATATCCATCATGAGGTGAATGGGACTCTTTTCTGCATCATCCTCCCTCTAAGACCAAGACTTACAGAGCATATACTCTCTGGAACATTGTTGATTGCCATGACAAAGAGCAAAAAGAGTTCCGGAAGGTCTTGCATCAGCAATTAAATGCTATGCTCACAATTCATGGCAGAATGTGTCATGTGGCTCATCTCAACTACAAGGAAGCCAGGAAATGCAATCCTACTTGTACCTGAAAGAGAACAAAAAATATTTGATATACTCACCATCATTCACTCATCCATAACCATGGCTTTAACTGCTGCCTATACACCAATGCCAAAATTTCTAAGTAATGCCCCATTGTCACTCTTTATCCATATTTTCAACTACCTACTGGAATGCCACAACTGGATTATATCATAGGTATTTCAAATCTCAAGTACCAAGACTGAATCCTTTATCTCTCCCAGAAACTTTCTGTGTTCTTTCTTTTGGTTAGTGGACTCATTATTGAGCCACTATATCAAATAAGAAACCCAGATATTTGACTCCTCTCTCTCTTCCAACATTCATTTAGTTTCCAAGCCTATAGATGTTCCCCTCTAATTTATTCTCATCCTACTAACTCCATGACCATTACCCTACTTCAGCCCTTCGTGGATTCTTGCCCAGACAATTGTGTTGGCCCTGTCTGGTTTGTCTGCCTTAATATCTTTTCCTATAAACTATGATAATTTATTCATTCCTCAAACATTTATAAAGTGCTTACTCCTTCTTAGAGCTTAAGTAATGAACCCACCTTGAAGAAATTCAGTCTAAAGACAGAGACAGTGATGCAGACTAAAAATTTGGACACAGTGGACAAATGTGATAATTATGTAGCAAACAGTGGAGAAATGGGAAGGAAACATAAAATTGAGTGCGGTGCTGAGGGGAAGGTAGTTTTGGAAGCTTCTAGAGAGGAAGTAAAACTTCAGCTAAATGAGGAGGCATTAGGAGCTGCTCCTCCACGTGAGCCACAGCAGTTGGAAAAGGTGAAGAAAGAAGCATGTGTCTGACATCACTGAGGTACTTTTCCTGACTCAGCCAAACCAAAGTGGATTGAGAGGAATGGCATGAAGAAGCAGGAACCTGATCAGTAAGGACCCAAAGTGTCCTGGTCAGTTATCCGGCAGTCAAGTGGTAGAAGGTCATCCATTGAAATAAGTAACTCAAAAGGAATAGCAGGTCTTGTGGAGATGATACTTTTAATTATGGATACCTTCACATAGTTCAACACTGATTCCAGGCCTAGGGCCAAGCATCTTACTTTATTACAGCTGACCCTTGAAAAATGTGAGCATCTGATCCCTACACAGTCAAAAATCCCTATATAACTTTTGACTCCCCCCAAAATTAACTAATAGCCTACTGTTGACTGGAAGCCTTACCAATGAAGAGTTGGTTAATACATTTTGTATATGTATTATGTAGCATATTCTTGTAGTAAAATAGAGAAAAGATGTTATTAAGCACATCATAAGAGAAAATACATTTACAGTACTGTAGTATATTGAAAAATCTGAGTGTAAGTGGACTCACGCAGTTCAAACCACTGTTGATCAAGGGTCAGCTGTATTTTATTAATCCTCGCAATTTTATGTCATTAAGTTGTACTATTATCTTCATTTTGCTATTTAAAAGCAAACCCTGAGATTCAGAAGTTAATGACTTGATCACTTCCACACTTAAAAAAATGGTTTGCATTGGAGCCCAAGTTGCTATCTACCAAGCCATGCTAAGTTTAAGGAGCCTACAGGAACTGCACCCGCATGTGTCCACAGGCTGAAGCACAAGGGAAGGACGGGATTGGGGGTCATCAGAACAAGGGAAACACGGTGGGATCTAAGTTATGGGCGTGGATGAGATGGCTCAACCAATTCTAAAAAAGTTAGAAGGAAAGAGGACCCGGGTAACATTAAAGGTAAAAAGCTGAAAAGCGTAAAAGAAACCAGCAAAAAAGTTTGAAGAGACGTTTGATAATGGGAATCCTTAAGAAATGTCTTTTCGTGAATCTTTTTGAGAAGTCCCTAGTCCAAGTGTCTGGCACTTGGTAAAGGACCTCTGGGGTTAGAAGGGGCATTCTGTCAAGGGTGGGCCTTTCTATCTAACTACTCCATCTCCTGAAGGATCTGTGATACCCACATGGGGACTGGGGAGGTAAACAACTAGCGAATTCTCCTCAGAGCAAATCAAGAACTCTTCTTCCTCCAGTGTCGCCCAAGGAGCTGTGGATGTGAGCGTCCCAAAACCTGCTCGCTCAAATCAGAGGTTACTGCAGAAACGACAAATGGGCAAAGATCCAAGCAGCTTGCAGACTGGGACTCGGTTCGGGGGAGAAGAGCGCGTGCCACGTAGGCACGCGCGCTCCCGCCAAGGGAGACAGGGAGCGCGCCGGGTCCCCAGCCCGCCACCGCACTCTCTACTTCACTGCCACTTCCTTCTCTCTCCAGTGCCCACGTCCCCTCGGCTCCTTCTCTCCTCCCAGCAACTCCCCTCAGCAGCCCCAGCCCCGGCCATTCCCCGCCGCCGCCCCCCTCCTAACCATCCCTGCAGCTAGCCGGACTGTGCGTCAGGGGGGCGGGGCCAGAATGCCGCTCGCGCTGGGCCCCGCCCCCACGCCGAGGGCCCCCCCCCCCGCCCCGTCTGGCCGAAAAGGGGCGGGCTCGGCCGGTGCTGGGTCCAGAGTTTTCTCACTCTCGGTCTGACCCGTCCCTCCGCCGCTGAGACCTTGCTCTTACCCCGGGCCCTCTCCTGTCCCCCGAGCAGACGCAGGGAGTCCAGGCAGGGCGTACGGGGAGCCATGAAGGGTCGCTGCCTGATAGGCGCCGCGGCGGAGGGGCTGGCCGGCTGAGGGCCCCCGCCGGCCGAGGCATGTGGAGCCCCAGCGGGAGCCTTCTCCAGGCACTACCCCGGCTCCTGCAGCACGCCGCCCTCCAGGGCCGAACCGAGCTGCCGGCCAGCTGGGCCCTGCCACGGGCAGCGGGCGGGGACAACGCGGCCGATCGCCTCCCCCGCGGGGGCGGGGCGAGCGCGGCGGCGGCGGCTGCGGCTGCCTCGGGCGCCCTGCTCGGCGCCTATCTGGAGCGCCACGGTCCGCCAGCGGCCTCGGAGCTGCCGGCGCCGGGCGGGGCCTTGGCGGGCGGCCCCGGGAGCGGCAGCGGCGGCGGCGTGGTGGTCGGCGTGGCGGAGGTGAGAAACTGGCGCTGCTGCTGCCTCGGCAGCACCTGTTGGTGCCGGAGCCTCGTGCTGGTGTGCGTGCTGGCCGCGCTGTGCTTCGCTTCCCTGGCCCTGGTCCGCCGCTACCTGCAGCACCTCCTGCTCTGGGTGGAGAGCCTCGACTCGCTGCTGGGGGTCTTGCTGTTCGTCGTGGGCTTCATCGTGGTTTCGTTCCCCTGCGGCTGGGGCTACATCGTGCTCAACGTGGCCGCCGGCTACCTGTACGGCTTCGTGCTGGGCATGGGACTGATGGTGGTGGGCGTCCTCATCGGCACCTTCATCGCGCATGTGGTCTGCAAGCGGCTGCTCACTGCCTGGGTGGCCGCCAGGATCCAGAGCAGCGAGAAGCTGAGCGCCGTTATTCGCGTCGTGGAGGGAGGAAGCGGCCTGAAAGTGGTGGCGCTGGCCAGACTGACCCCCATACCTTTTGGGCTTCAGAATGCAGTGTTCTCGGTAAGTGGTGTCCCGCTGCCCCCCATCCCTTTCCAAGACTGTTTTCTAGCGGTCTTGTGACGGTCCTGGGAGGGCGCTTCATCAGATAAATGCCGGCAGAGAAGTGACATTGACAACAGGAGTTAGAATCACTTTGCGTCGCACGCTGAGAAATCTCATACAAATAAAACACATCTAAGTCGGGGCCTCAGACCTGGTAGAGAAAGAACTCTTTTTTGGCATATGAGTATGATTAAAAATGAAAAGTCCTTTTAACTTGGAGGGGAGATGAATGAAAATGTCAATTTTAAAACATTTGTCATCTTATTTCTGTAGCAGCTTTGGCAAGAGAGTGAAGGCTTCACATTCCTAGCTTTCTCTCTTGCCTGCAAAAATGCATCCAGGGTTTTGACTCAACTTTTTAAGGACACGAGGCTGAAGGAAGTGTTTGGGTAAACAGTGGAGGGAGTAGCTTCAGACTCCTTATTATAGTCTCCTAAAACTTGTAATAGGCCTTTTCTTCATTAAATAATTTGCTTTCATACGATGCAGAGGGGGAAATCCTCCTGTTTATTTTTCTTTGGAGGAACTGCATTTTGAAATCACTGGGTAGGGGATAAAACAAAATAGGACAGATAACCTTCTGCCTAGTGAGCATATATTTTTCTTTATACACATCTTTTACACTCTTTTTTGCTTGTATTCATATGTTCTGCTTATCCTATTTACTTTTCTCTAGCTCAGTGCAACTGACTGAGGAATAGAAATACTGCTAGTGAGGAGACCATCTGCCTGGAAGAAAGGAATCCTGTCTTTACAAACTTCCTGACTTTGGACCGCATCATTAACCCTATGTGTCCTTGCTTTCCTCTTTTCTAAAGTGAAGGGATTGAACTAGATTACTGAGTTCCCCAAATTCAATGATTATAAACTACAAAGAGTTCATATAGTGATTTCCAGGAACTCAACCCTTCAGCTTGACTTAAATAAAACTGTGGTATGGAAGTAAAGAGATACAGCGTTCAAAACCATAGGGATAGATGTATTTTATGTTAGTGATTCTGATACATTGTATTGTTTCAAAAATAAATCATTGTTAGTCCCTAGAAACGGTCTCATTTTGTTTTGAATTAAGAATAATTCCAACCACTGACTCCTAAAAGATAAAAATTGGTATTTTTAGGAGTGTGGTATTGTTTTAAAGCCCAAATATCTCCCAGTTCATTAGTTTGAATAATTTTTATCACCACGAATTGCTTTCAAACCAATATATAACTTTAACAAACTATAACCACTGGGTTAAACAATTTGAATAAACTAGCAGTTTATCTAAAAAAAAAAAATTCTACCCAACCTACCATTTTTGTGATGAAATTAAGATTTTTTTTCCCCTTTTTAAATGTCTTTTGCGGATCTCATGTTGATTCTAATCAACAGCAGCAACGACTAGAATGAGGCTCTTGGAGGCATGGAAATAGATAAAGGTTTTTTTGTAGAGAGAAAGTTTGGTGTTTATGGTGGTTTGATGTGTTTTTTTGCCTTAAATTTTTCCCTTTTACAACAGCCTATAGTATTAAGTATAAGCATGAACTTTGACCCAGCCTTGGGTAAAATAGATCAAGTGTTCTAAGACTTTGGAAGAGGGTTGGGACTAAGGGCCTGAATAGTTTTCCTTCTGTTAGTTGACTTTGTTCTCCAGTATAGCTTGTATCCTTGTGCCTTTTCTTGTTCACCTACTGTGTGCTTACTACCCTGAGCTCTTTGCAAATATTATTTCTAATCTTTAAGCCAGCCCTGCATAATGTATTTATGCATATAGTGTAGATTTGTTTAACAGTTTGGAGCACAGGACTAGTGCTCTGGAGTCCTACTGTCTGCATAGAATCTGTTGACCTTTGTCAAGTTGCTTATCTTCTCTGTGGTCAGTTCCTTATTTGCAAAATGGGGAAAGAAGTGGTACCTACTTTATAGGATTATTGAGACAATTAACATAAGATAAATACATGCTGTAGATTCTGGCTTAACAAACACATGTTCTTTTTTTCACCATTACTATTGTTATTACCCAAGGTCACCTGGCACTAAATAATTGGTAAAGTAAAACTATTCACTATGGTTTTATGATAGGGTCTCAACCCATGGCTTCATTGTATATTTGTATATTTAGTAGCTACTGTAGTCTGGGGTATATAATGAGGATTCATTATATATTTATTAATTAAAAATAAGACAGTTTTGGAGTGCCTGGGTGGCTCAGTTAGTTAAGTGTTCAATTCTTGGTTTTGGCTCAGGTCCAGATCTCAGGGTCCTGGGCTTGAGCCCCATGTCCTGTTCCGCACTCAGCAGGAAGTCTGCTTGATTCTCTCTCCCTCACCCTCTTCCCCTCCTCTCTCTCTAAAATAAGTGAATAAAATCTTTAAAATAAAAGGACAGTTTTTTAAAATGTTTTTAACATATTAAATACATGAATAAAAATTTATACTTTGTGCTTGGAAATAATTTAAGGTAATTATGTAGTTGAAACCACACTTGACAAGAGGCAGCTCTTAGGTTGGTGCTGTGGGGTCAAGAGCAAAGAAGGAAAAAAAAAAAAAGGAAAATGGTCTCTTGAAAGAGATATTATTAGCATAATTTTACCGAGGAAATTTCGGAAAGCCGAAACAGAGGCTTAGCCCTGCAGGGACTTTTTTAGGGTCACTCACCTACTGAGTCAGGAGCTGAGGTTTGAAACCAGGATGGGCTGATAAGGTGTGTCATACTGTAATTTTTTACTCATAACCATAAGCAGGGTGGGTTGTAGAGCCAGTGAACATAGTCTGTTACATTTTATTTTTTTTATTCTTAACTATCTGCTTATTAGCTCTTTCAACGAAAACAGTTTACTGAATTCACCCAGGGTATGTGGGTGAAAAGAAAGCTTAGTTTAGGCTCATTTTTGTTTTAGTCTTTCTCTTTTGTCTTCTAGAACTTTATTCTACCTCCACCCTCTCTACCCCCATACCCCTCTGACTGCCCACAGCTGCTCACTTTCCCCGCATATTTCTCTTGTTTTTTTCTTCCCTTCCTATCTTTTAAAAGATCCTCCCCCCTTCTCTGTTCCATTAAGAAAACTCATTTTTTTAATGCCCGTGATTAAAGAAATTGATCTGAGCTTACCTTAAAAAGGAAGTGAGGTATAGTGGTCATGAGAGGCATAGGCTTTAGAAGTAGTCCTTGATTAGCCCGTGCTGAGTTATGAGGGTTAAATAAGCTAGTCTAGGGAAGGCTTTAAGTATTGCCTGGCACATAGTCAATTCTCAGTCATTGTTAGCAATTATTATTATTAGTGGTGCAGGTAGTGGTATTTACATTTTAGATGCAGGAGATGATTGTAAAGGTTAATATATAGAAGAAGAAAAGGGGCTCTCCTTTGCTTTGTGTCTATTATTAACCACATTTCTTTGCTTTTTCCATGTGTGCCGAAAAGGGATAAGCAAACTGACACTCTACGTTTTTGAAACTGTTGAAATAAGAAAAAAGTACATAAACTTTATAGTCTCAATTATTAGATCATAAGAAATATAATTTCCCAAGTACATATTTAAAATTTTTTCCTTTTTAAAAAAAATGAACCTATGTTTTTGCTGGGAAATAGTTAAAGCTCCCCTCTCCCCCATTTTTGATGTAATCTTGTACCTGTAGTTATTACTGCCTATGAAGACAGATTTACAGACTTATAGTTTGTGTTTCTAAGTATTGTTCTTTTTTTTTAAGATTATTTATTTATTTATTTATTTGACAGAGAAAGGCACAGCAAGAGAGGGAAAACAAGCAGAGGGGTTGGGAGAGGGAGAAGCAGGCTTCCCGCGGAGCAGGGAGCCCGATGCGGGGCTCGATCCCAGGACCCTGGGATCATGACCTGAGCCGAAGGCAGACGCTTAACGACTGAGCCACCCAGGTGCCCCTCTAAGTATTGTTCTCATCTGGACACATGTCTAGGATGGGCATTTCTTAGAGCTCTGGTCAGGACAGGTTAAATTATGCTGTAGTAAAAACCCCTAAATCTCAATGAGTTAAAAAGTAGAGGTTTGCTTACTTGTTGACACAGCTTCAGGTTCAGCTTGGCTTGGGGAAGGGTCAGGGAATCTTTGCTTTAGGTCACTTTTACCCTGGGATCGAGGCTGACAGAGCCACCATCTTTCACTTGGTTACTGTGACATGGTGAATTGCACACGGGTTTTTAAAGCTTTCATCTGGAAATCATCTCACTTTTTACTGGTCTGAACAAGTTACCTGGCCAGCGGTAACTTCAAAAGAGTCATGCAGGTGCCAGGAAGGAGCTAGAACTGGGGTGTTTGGTAGCAGTCTTCATGACTCTCACTTGATTACCTCCTCTCTCTCTCATCCCCCACAACTAATCATCAGCCAAATCCTATGGATTCTGCCCCCTGAACACTTCTGTTTGACCTGCTGCCATTACTTTGGTTCAGGCATCTCAGCCTCCCACCTGGTCTCTTGCCTCTGAGCCAAGGATTTCCAGTTTTTTTCTCTCTCCAGAAAGATCTTTCTAAAATGCAAATCTGATCTTGTTACTCCCCTGCAGGAAACTCTCAAATGGGTTTTCTCGTCCCCTCGGGATAAATTCCAAACCCTCACAGCATACATACCTCTGTACCCTCTTGCCATTCCTCAATTTACTAAATGCTCTTTGATGTGTTAACTTCTTTAATCCTCAGCATTCTAGGAGGTAGAAATGATATTTTTGATTCAAACAGCAAATCTTGTCTGTAGCTTTGAAACTTCAGGTTTCCCTTTTTCCTTTCCTTTTCCTACAAGAAACTTGTCTGTAAAGTTGGAAACCAAAAACATTCACAAGAATAACATCCCGTCCTGTATTGAGTGCGCATTGGAGTAGTCTCATAAGGTCTGCTCTAAGATGCCCCTTTGGAGACATCTGGACTTTCTATAGTTTAAAGTTACCTTCTGTGAAATGTCCGTTTTAATCCAAAAAGTATTATGTGATGGTTGGTATGGGTAACAGA